TCAACAGGCATCTGGACCTGCCAGCGGCCTACAAAGTCTTGCGCCATTACGTAAGAAAGAGCCGGAGCGAAGCTATATCAAACGTAAGAATGGCAAGCGAACAGGAACCCACAACGAAACGGCCGGCAGAGGAGGCAGTGTTACCAGGGCCCTATACCCTCCCCCCACCCTTTTTCGATTGCTGTTTCTAACCCTTTGACAACCTGACGATTTCTGACAGTTGATTGGCTAATTACCCTCTTTTTGGTTGCTTTCTCATCTCTGAAGATGGACACCTGTAAAAGTTCGAAAGCTCAGAACAATAAATAAATTGATCTGATGCTCGACCCGCCTTCTTCCTCATCCATAGTCTACTTGTTGATTCTAGATTAAATTAGCTGCACTACTGTGGTCGAAAGGCATTACAGGCTGTCTAAGACGAGTCACCACCGAAAATATCGGGGAGAGGGGGGGCAAGTACAGGTGTAGGACGAAACTCCTCTTTCAGGCAGCACCGTCAGTTGCAATTCAGATGTTGATTAATCAACAGCGGTCTGGATAATCCGTCTCAAGTGAAAATGGTAGTCAAGTAGAGCCCTGATACTTGATACGAGAGCTGGGGACACTAAATCCGTGCACATAATGGTATGAAGCAGGTGTGGAGGAGGTGTACGTGAAAGATGCTGTCAGCGCAAGTACAGTTTTCATAATAGCATGAGGTACATTATCAAATCGTCAGATGGGAAGCATATTGTTGAACGTTTGATACGCGTGGATATTAAGCAGAAAGATAACAATCTCCCTCTAGCCTAATAAGGCAACTCTACTTGTACTAAAATAAACATGACAAGGTGATAAATGGAGGATATTCAAATTACTCGTCTCACGTACCCTTTTCCGAAAGTTTTTAACATGTCGAGGAAAATGCCTCTCGATGAGCGCTTTGCCAAAACAGTTACTCAGACCGAAGCAAATTGTCGCCCCGAGGGCCGTCATAGAGCAGACCAGCGGTAAGCCAAGTTGGGTACCGTAGAGCGAGCCAGCAAGCAGGTTCTGAAAGTAGTCAGCATCAGATAATTACCATGAAGAAGGATCCCGGTATCGCGAAGGCCTGTTTGTAAATATAGGCCAAACAGAAGAAGGTGAGCACATGTTCTGAGTAGATGGTCTTATATGCCTTCAGGAGACTTGCGAGCTCCATTACATCCTCCCTCGATTTGGGCAATTTCAGTGAACTAAAGTTTAGCTTAGAGTCCAAAGTACTCGTGACTTACAGCTCTCTGGTGGCATTGCTGTTTGAAACGTCGGCACCGGCTACTTTAAGGGTCAGTAGGTACTCTCCAAATTTTAGTAATACGAAGGAGTAGAGAAGAAATACGATAGGCAGGGCGAGAAAACGTAGGTAGGGATCGTAACGATGGAGAAATGTTTTCCGGCGCCGGCTGGCCATAGTTTTGGCGCACTATAAAAGAAAAAAATTCACATGAATATGAGTTGAAGGCATTCCACCAGGCGGTGATAAGTAAATGTCTTTATAAGGTAGGATGATTAGGAAGAAAAAACTCTGGGC